AAATAAACCTAAACAACACCTACTAACAACTAAATCCTACAGTCTAATCCCGTTTCTTTCCATGGAGGGGCTTAGGACCCAGGGGAATGTAGGTGAAGAAAACAGGAAGTGACGGAACGGAAGACACGCCACACAAACAGCTGTTCACCACTCGCTGGCAGGCCGTTTCTTTTCAGCGTTAATTAATTAATGCTTTAACACGGAAAAAAATACTGATATAACGTGAAACCGCCAGTCTTACAAAATACCGTGATATGTATCTTTGGTCATACCGCCCAGCCCTAGTTCAGGGTCCTATGTTCCCTATCTCTATATAGCACATAATGGGAACCTGAAAAATATGTTCCCCAGCTCGTCACACGCTTATTATGACATGGGTTATTGTGGGAACTTGTCAACAGATTCTTTCGCTGTATGGCTCTCAATACAATCGGCCTACACTTGAGGGAACTTATCAAACGACTGGAGTCATGGAATAACTAAAGGTCATAGCTTAATCCTTCCTTCGGCGAAAACTAGCCTAGTACAGATGTTTTTGAAACTATCATGCACAAACACAATTACAGAAATTATGAACTTGTGTCAGAAAATCCGAGCGGGTGTTTGTACGTGCGGCCATGTTCAGGGAACATAGCATGGAGTTGAACATGGGAACGTGAATTCCTGACGACATGTCCCTTTATTCATTTGTGGGTCGAATTTGCCCTCTCTTTTTCTATTCATACAAAACACTACAAGAAACAATTATTTTTACGCAACTTTGTTGCTGCAGCAGCAATAAAACATTCTGGAAAACCAAACAAGACTTTAGAGACCCTCAAAATTAAAAAAATATATATAACTTGTTTTTGTTTTAAAGCCTTGTTCCAATAAAAACTAAAAAAACAGGATCATCTTTATGAAACATTCTAACTTGAAATTAGTCCCAAACCAAATCACAATAGGAGAGTTAAGGTGTTAAAATAATATAGAACCGGGGAACTTGGGGCCCTTGGAACATAGATATGCTCCCAGGCCAGACTACATCCCAAAGATGTAGTTCATGGTGCATGAGCACAAGTAAAATTCAATATAAAACTCCTCTAATGATGAAACTTCTTCTTTCACCATAACATATCGAAAAGATGCCAATTGGGCCTTGATGCATTTTGATAGGGATGCATGATGTGGACAGGAACACAGCTAGTCTCTGGATGTTGCTGCTAAATTGAGACATTTACTCAGTGAGTCACAGAGGTTCCTAATGATGTTTTTCTTTTTTCTCTTAGAGCCTTGAAACATGGCTGCCGCTGTGTGGAGCTGGACTGTTGGGATGGAGATAAAGGAGAGCCAGTCCTCTATCACGGACACACACTCACCTCCAAAGTACCCTTTGTCAAAGTCATTGAGACTATCAACGACTATGCTTTTAAAGTGAGTACTTCGCTAATTCATTTGTGGTGACAAAGATTATATACTTCTAAAAATCTATGCGGTGTAAGAGTTTTATGTGCATTGACAATTATGCTGATAGTTCAAATGATAATTTCCCTCCTCTCTTTTATTCTATGGCAAACTCCTTTTTTACCCAACTCTGCCCCATCATCCCTCCCTCCCAGGCGTCTCCCTACCCTCTGATCCTGTCCCTGGAGAACCACTGCTCCGTGGAGCAGCAGACGGTGATGGCCCGACACCTGCGATCCATCCTGGGAGACAAGCTGCTCACCCAGCCCCTCGACAGATTGGATCCTCAAAACCTTCCTTCTCCAGAGGCAAGGAAGACACTGTTCTAGAACCACACAAAAGTTCTGTCTCCATAAGTTTGACTATATTTACCGCAGGCTGCACGATTTACATATTTCAATATTGCGAACCGGATCCCTTATCACGATTAATCATTGATTTTAAGGACAAACTATTTTTATTGCACTTTCACATTTAAATCAACCGAGCCCTGCTTTCACTTTAAAGCTGCGATGCATTCCTGCATGTTAACAAATCTTTGCATCAAATTGGAGATAAAACTTAGCTGAATTTCAGGAGCAGGACCACACCTCAGCCACTCGCCCACTTCCGGCCACACTCCTATGAATACCTACCCACTCTAAGCCTTGGCTCGCTCGCGTTTTCTGCATTCGCAACCGAAACGCCACGCAGAGAGAACAAAAAACCTTACCTCGCCTAAAACATGGACCTGCTGTCCACCAGGCCATCCGACGACGACGACCAGTTCACCGCCCCAGAGGCCACCCGTACAGCCCAGGGAAGCACTCGACCTGCCGCCCACGAGACACCGCCAACCACCATCGAGAGGGTCCAGGCAGCCAAACCCGCCGATCTCCACCTCGCCGACCAGCTGCATCCACCCGCCAGAATCCGACAATACTGTAACCAAGCGTCTTGGGTTCGTGTATTGCACTTATCATACCGTAATAACTGGAGTCGGGAGATTAGACATCTTGTATCAGCCCACGGCTACTCTCTTTATTATTGTTTTCTCCTTTGGCCAGAGGCGGGAGTTGCGCCTTTGCTACGGCAACCCTCAAGGGACATATCAACAGTCAACACCAGAACGACAAACATGAGACAGTCTGTTACATACGTCCCTCCCTCAATTAGAAATGTCCCCGTTTCGTGACCAGCAAACACATATAAAATTACACAAAAATCTCAAATCAACGAGAGAAAACCACAAATGACCATAGCTAACAGGAGTAAACCAAACTACAAATGGCACCCTAAATAGCAAGGTAAACAACAAAACATGACACCGTATGATTCAGAACAACTATAACGGCTAATTCACACACGGAATAATATCCCGGATGGCAACCCACCAACAGTCAAAACAGAGGTGGAGGTGCAATGGGGGACGCACCACACGACCCCCGCGAGACCGTACAGGGTCAGGCTCTGCCCCACCCGCCGCAAGGCCAGTGTCCAACCGTCCTAGCACACGCTGCTCCCCCCTCCAAGGAGGCCGAGAAGCCCCCACTTCAGGAGAGGCCGGGAGGGAGCGTGATGTGTCAGCGACAGCCAGTGATGGTAGGGGCAGAGTGTACCGTTTCAGTCTATCATGGTGAACAACCTGGGCCCGGTCCAGCGGGTCAAGTGGGTTGACAATCCTGTATGTCAGTGAGGCGCCAGTTTGGTGCGACTCTCAGTCGGGTTGTTAAGCCACACTAACGCGCCCTTTCCATAAGGACGATGGCAAACATCCTCATCATGATACAGTTTCTGTCTCTCATGAGCTTCTGTAGCATGAAGCCTCGCTGCACTGAAGGCTTTTTCCAGCCTCCCCACCAGGGATGGCACATACTCCGGCAGGACTCCAGAGCCCTGAGGATTCTCGACTCTGTTAGAAATCAGAACATCAGCTGGAACACGTGCCTCGTGTCCGTGCATGAGGAAGAAAGGGGTAAAATGAGTGCTGGCATGTCTGGATATGTTGTAGGCAAACGCCACCTGCTTCACATAATCATCCCATTCACCTCCATGCGAGAGCAGCATCTTCGCCAGCTGATCAATCAGAGTCCGGTTATGATGCTCCACCATACCGTCTGATTTAGGGTTGTAGGCGGTAGTGTGTGTCTTTTTGATACCTAACAACTTGCAGAGGCTCTGAATCACATCTGCCTCAAATTGTCGGCCTTGGTCGCTGTGCAGGACTTCAGGGATCCCATGCACCAGCACATAGTCATCAAACAGGCAGCGAGCCACTGTGTGAGCAGTCTGATTGGGCAGCACATACAGGTTAACAAATTTGGTGAAATAGTCATCCACCACCAATATATACAGTATCTGTTCCCCCTTGAAGTTACCGGCAGCTCGAGGATATCTGCAGCCACCCGCTGTAGAGGGCGACTAACCTGGGACCCTCCCATGGGAGCCCTCTGTCTGGGAACTGGGGCCCTGCAGGTTTGGCAGGCTCTGCACTGTTCACACCATTGTCTAATGTCTCTCAACATGAAGGGCCTATAGTAGGTGCCTGGCCTTCTCCCAAACTCGCTCTGCGGAAAAGTGTGCAGCAGCTGGGCCCCCATGCAGCTGCTGAAGAAGCTCGGGCACCAGAGATGAGGGGATCACCACCTGCACGTGCCTCTCCCCTGCCGGAGAGAGTATAGTCCTGCACAACAAACCATCAATGACGGACAGATGATTGAATTCAGTCCACAGTTTCCTGAGGCAGAGTGAGGACCCCCTCAGGTGTCTGCGAGGTGGTCTCACTGCGTTTCGCTCCAACCAACTCAACACCGCCCCAATTTCCGGGTCCTCGCGTTGCAACAGCTGCAGCTCAGAGTCGCTGTGGCAGAGAGAATATGCCGGCCGCCGTTCCATGAGCGTCTCCTCATCCCCTGGCAGCTCTGATTCGACCACCGATCCTGCAGCACACACATCCGACAGTGAGCCCGCCTGGTCTCTGGCATCCGGAGATGCAGGCCGGCGAGACAAGGCATCCGCGTTTTTGTGGCGTGAACCATCTTTGTGAATAATGGTCCAGTTGAATGGGTCGAGCTCCAAAACCCACCGGCCGCTTCGTCCTGTAGGATCGTTTTCAATGGCCATTTTCCTGAGCGCCAGCAGCGGGCGATGATCCGATATGATGGTGAATGCAGCAAGGCCCACATAGTGTTTAAATTCACACACGGCCCATACTATGGCCCAGAGCTCCCTGTTGAAAGTGGACCATCTTTTCTGTGTGTGCGTAAGAGCCTGGCTGGCATAAGCTACGACTCGTTCGGGCCCCTCCACCTGTTGAGACAGTACTGCACCAACAGAGTCTTTGGAAGCATCCGTGTATATCTTGAATGGGAGCGCAAAGTTGGGTAGTGTCACCACAGGAGCGGAGGTGAGCACCTGCTTGAAAAACGTGAAGGCTGTTTCACACTCTGCATCCCATTTGAAAGGCACGTTTTTGCCCGCCAGGTGGTTCAGCGGTGCAGCATACTGGGAAAAATTCCTCACAAACCTCCTGTAGTATGAGCACAGGCCCACAAAGGCTCTGACTTCAGATGGGTTGCAGGGAGTTTCTCAACTTTTCTGTGTTGCGGGGGTCAGGCTGCAGCCCCTGTCTGGAGATCACGTGGCCTAAGAACACCACATGGTCCCGGGCCACGTGGCATTTTCTGTGATTGAGTTTTAGGCCCGCACCCTGTATTCTGGAAAGGACCTCCCCCAGGTGGGCCAGGTGGTCTTCAAAAGTGCGACTGTAGATCAGTATGTCGTCCAAATACACCATGCAGATGTGCCAAGGCAGACCCCGCAGTATCAGCTCCATCATGCGTTGAAAGGTGGCAGGAGAGTTGGTCAGGCCCATAGGCATGGCGCACCACTGGTACAAGCCCCGGCCTGTCGTGAACGCTGTTTTTTCACGATCCTTTTCGGCCATTTCCACTTGCCAGTAGCCATTCGAAAAGTCAAGTGTGCTGAACCAAGTTGAGCCCGCCAGGGCATCCAAGCTGTCATCCACCCGTGGAAGTGGGTGGGAATCCTTGACTGTCACAGAATTAAGGCGCCGATAATCAATGCAAAAACTCCATTGTCCGTTTTTTTTTTTAACAAGCACTACAGGTGATGCCCAGGGGCTGCAGCTCTCCTCCACTAGCCCATCAGCCAGTAGACCAGCCACCTGCCGTTCTATCTCTGACCGCTTCTCCGGAGACGCCCGGTAAGCGCGCTGCTTAATGGGGTGATGGTCACCAGTCTTAATGTGGTGTTTAACGAGTGTGCACCTGCCTGTATTCCCCTCCGTCGGAATGAACACATCACCGAATCTCTGTAGCAGTTCAGACAGTTTTGTTCTCTGTTGCTCTGTAATTGGTGAATCCTCCAGCATGATGGGGAGAGCAGCAGGCTGTGGCGGAACTGAATCCACTTCTGGGGAATGAATTGGTGGTATAATATCTGACTTTTGAAGCGGGTAAAACTCACCCATATGCAACCCCTGCTTGAGCTCCACAGTCTTCCCTGTGGGATTGAGGACCCGAGCCATAGTCACGCCATCCTTAACGGTGGTGACTGTGTGGGCTACCACTAGTCCAGTCGTTTCTGGGATGTTAGGCTCCAGGTAGCCCTCAAACTCTTTTGCAGACAAGCCAGCAGTGAAAGGCGAGAGAACATTCACTGGCACCAGGGCCTTGCCCAGAGGGGAAATGGTCATAGCTCCAGCCAGGGACACATTACAGCATTCAGGGACTAATTCCCCACCTCTCAACAGGGGCACAGTAGCGTCCCATAACTGCAGCACACCCCGTCCCCACTCCAGCAGTGTATGGTTCTTGGCTAGGAAGTCCAGACCCAGTAAGACAGTTTGAGTGGACTCTCGCAGGACATGAAATGTGTGTTGCCAACAGGTGGGGCCCAAACGGAAAGTCGCCACAATAGTGCCCAAAGTATCCAACATTTGTCCATTAACTGCACGAGAGTCGATATAGTTCTTTTTCAGTGGTCGGTTTCGCAGGGCAGGGACTGACGTACGAAAGTCTGCACGAATCAATGACACATTCGCTCCTGAGTCAACTAATATGGACACTTCAGTGCCTTCAACCACCCCTCTAATGTAGGAGGTAGGGTGGTCCACACTGTCCATCTCAGCAATATTCTCAGATATCGGCGGCTGTAAGGAGCCCTCAAGTGGTGTAGCTGGTGTCAGGGCCTCGACACCAGCTACTAACCGTTTCCCTGACGATCCTGTCGCTGTTGCAGGAACTGCACGCTGCGCCTCCTTGGCTCCTCCTCCTGCCGGGCCCGCCACCCAGGACTGGGGCTCCTG